CGTTGAACAGTTTGGTTGTTTGGCTGGTTATTTAGTGCTGCATTTGGTGCTGTATGCTGTATGCTTGTACCTGCACTTTCGCCTCATCTTAGCAGCCGCAGTAAAGTTTGAAAAGTGTTCCTGAGGCACTATTGAGATTTGCATTGTCCAGCCTTCCAGGATGTGGAGCGAACTTGTTCCCGCTGCTTTGTTCGTTATAGCACAAGCCACTCATCGAAAAGGGCAACAGGAAGAATGAAGGCAGCCTTCCAAGAGTCAAGTGCCTTCTGCACTCAACTGACTGCTAATTTGGCACGCCTCCCGAGGAGCGCCCGTCCGTTTTCTCCAAGCCGGAGCTGCTCCTTGCGCCTCGGCCGTAGGCATCGCTGGAAGCGTGCCCAAGCCAGGTGTCAATGATGGCGTACAGAGATGGGAGGGGAGGGAGCCCGGGGAGAGGCAGAGAGCTGCGCATGAAAAAACAATATAGGCGTGCACGAGCAGGTCTGAAATCATTGTTGAGTTCAACTCGGTTGCTGAGCTTGACATGCCGCCTTGGAAGCCAGCGCTCTTCTAGAGGGTGCAGCGAGACAGGCCTGCCCCCCAGTCGTTTGGATGGGGTGCGGTTCCTGGCCGCTTTCCACGTGCACAACCCGCTGCCACAGGCCAGACGCATGCGCTAGAAAGCCTGTTTAGACTTTCGATGTTGAACATGCCTAGTTTGCAGCGTCGGGGTGGGCAAGGAAAATACACATGCATTTGCGTAAAGTAGGGTAGCTTTGGTTCATTCTTGTGTCTGCAGCATGGGACGCGGACGACCCCCACAACTGTCATCCAGTACCAGGTTTCGACTTGCCCCTTTTCGAGCGCATGGTCGCCTGGGTCCAATATGGTTCTTGGGAATCCACAGGGGCCGAGGCTCGGAGTCCTCGACGTTCGGATGGAAATGGACACTGCAGAAGTTCAAAGAAGTGCCGGTGGAGACGCGAACCTTGTCGCGGATTAGGCATGGGCTTCTGAATAGGCGCCACTTGGTGGCTCTTGGGCTTGATTGCCAACCAAATCGGGCGTGTTTTGGTTTTAAAAGAACATCCAAAAGAAAACCCAAAGGGCAATAACAAGTTTGGGGAGCCCTAATGTTGACCCAGGCATAATAAACCCGTCCCATTATAAGGGGGGTGTTCCCTCCAAAAGTGGTCTGAATCCCCACTAGAACGGGACACCCCCCTATCAATCAACCAGTGGTTTATTAATCTGGGGATAACATTGAAAGGGAAACACCCAAAGCCGGCGCCTTTGTGGAGATCTCTGCCGGTAGGCCTGCCAGTTTGGAAAATCCAAGCCAAGCCGAGCCATGGGAGACGAGCCGACAGTCCCAAACCAATTTGAAGGGACCGAATCGTGAGAACCTCTACGGCAACATGGGGGTTAGATTTGCCCCGCAAGTAGCAGTTCAGGAGTTTGGCTTAGTGTTTAGTATTGGTTTCGTGTTGCCTTGTGCTGCCTTGGTACTGGTTTAGTAGTGGTTTAAGATTGAGAATTTCTGCCGGGGAATCTCCTTTCCTCAGATCACATTCTCGAGAATCAGCGCCTCGTTTGTACTATTCAATGGAATATTGCTGGTGTCAAGAAGTCTTAGATATAGAATCTGCAGTTTCGGGGCGCAGACATGTGTTGAGTTGTTTGCTTGCTTGTTTGTTTCGTTTCCTTGGCGGGAGAAGGCCCAAAGTGCTTTATGTGATGCACACTTCGCGCATTGAGCACTGCAGATCCAATAAAATACGTAGAGGTTCGGGTTGGTGGGCCGGATGCTGGAGCAGGCAAGCAAGAATGCAAAGAGTGCATTTGCACGCGAGAGATGTTGCGCACTTTCGGTGCGAATCTGTTTTGGACGTGGAATGACACAGGCACCAACAAGTATATCAGTGATGAGTTCAAGACAAACGCATTGAGGTACTCACATGAACTTTCATGCAGGCGTAGTTCCTCCTCCGGCGGTTGTTGGCTCAGGCTCCGATGCTGCAAAGCTGGCCAGCTTCGTTCGCTCCACCCGCCGGAGAATCGCTTCACTTGAAGGAATCGCGTGAAACAACAGGCGCCGGGTTGCATATCCCGTTGAGTGAAATTGAAATCGAGCTGTTGGTTTGGATTATATACATAAACAGTAATACACACAGAAATATATATCTTTTAAAACAATGGGGGTTTATATTCACCTTGATTTACCTAAGGAGTGTTATCATCCAAATTG